TATATATATATATATATATATATATATATATATATATATATATATATATATATATATCCCTTAACGCAATTCGACGAGGAACGAGAAGCCTTAAAAAAATAATGTATTCATATTAAGACATTTCAATAGAGATTCTACAGAAAAACTTCTGGAAAAAAATAGCAGAAGTTTATTCTACAAAATCGTATTTTGCTTTCGCCGTAACATGAATTTTTACTCACGGCTTTTACCGTCTCCGCCGACTTTGCACGACAATTTTAAAAAGACACACGCATATTCAGTACTTTTTATTGAGAAGGCTCATCGATCGGTCCTAGTCGTATTCGGAACACTCGTATTCAGGTATACTCAGGGTAATATGCCACATGCACATACAAGAAAATCGTCGTCGCGCCATTGCGCGGAGGAGGAAAAAGGGTCTGAAAACCGCGGCAAGTCGAAAAACCGCTGTGCGGCATTTCCAATTCTTTTTGCTCTCGCCCTGCTCACGCATCGGCGCGGCGCCGCGTGGGTCAGCTTTCAGGCTCTCTAACGCGGTTAAGAAAATATTTTTAAAATAATTTTGCACTTAGGTCGCCGCCGTCGCCGCCGCCGTCGCCGCCGCCGTTAAACCGGACAGAGACGCGGCACGTAGCTGCCGGATGAGAGGAAACGGGAAAGAGAGAGAACGGGTTAAAAGAGTGCGAGAGGACAGCTTTACAGCTTTACCCCATTCCCGCGTGTCTCGTCCCCTTATGTGTGTTTAGCGGAACAGAAAAAAAGAGAGAGAGAGGAAAAGAGAGAGAGAGAGAGAGAGAGAGAGAGAGAGAGAGAGAGAAACGGATAGATAGAGAGAAAAGAAGAAGAAGAGAGCGAGTGCCGGAGGAAGGAGTGTAACGATATTTCTATCATTTAGTATAGCCGGGAATAATCCGAATGGAATTATGCACGTCCGTCACGTGGATTAACGCGAGTGTTTACGATCGATTGCGACGCGGATCGCGTTAGATATTGTTTTTAATTACCCGCGAACGTAGTCGAACGTTTGAATAGAGAGAGTATGCTATTATATGGAGAGAATTTTATAGTAAGAATTACTGTAGAACTTTGTAAGCGAGGAATAGATCGACATTCTGCGGTAATGGACTATCTTTTTGTCTCGTATACTCTATTTATATTCGATTTAATATAACCGGAATGTTCCATTAAACATTTTTGCCACATGAAAAAAAGAAACATTTAGTTGGACTAACAAAAGTTTTGGCGAAATGTGAATGAACCAGAAATCCTGGTTGAAGTTATCAGAATTCTGTTTAAGTTAACGAGATTTCTGATTCTCTGGTCTCTAAACAGGCTTCTAATAACTTCTACCGGAATTTTCTGATTCGTTCATATTTTTTTCACCAAGAATTTGATTGATTCGAGCAAACGTTTTCCCAGCGAAAATAAATTCTAGCAAAATTTACCATGTTCCTTAGCAAGAAAGATATTGACAGTCTACTCCTACATTACAAGAAACATAGTAAAATTGAAAAGAAGATATTATCCATTTATATGAAGAAAAACTCTATTATACTGTCTCTCCATATATACGACATCATATGCATATGCTGAGAAAGAAAAGCAATTGTATTGATGGTCAACTGCCTTCCCATAAGAAAGTATCATATCTATCGCACAGATTACATGTCAGTACAGCAATCAGTTGCGTGGATATAATTATTAACCACGTCGCAGCAATTGAATCGATTGACAACTCTCATCACAGCAACTATATAATTCGTGTAGTCGACTACAAACGTTCACTTCGAACGAATTCTGTTCGTTTAAGCAAAATCTCATCAACTCAATCCCTCTTTTTTCTTAGTGTACATACTCTGTTTGGAATAAGTAACAAAATTACTTCTTCAAACGATGCGTGAATCCGAAGAAGAGTGTCGATCTACTTCGATATAAGTCGCGGAGATCGAAATGACATTTGAAGCACGTGAACTCGTGCGAGCTTGAATAATAAGAGACAAAGACAAGGAAGAAGAAGAGAGAAAGAGCTATTAAAAAATACACTTTGCACTTTCTCTCTCTCTCTCTCTCTCTCTCTCTCTCTCTCTCTCTCTCTCTCTTACTCCCGTTTCCCTTTCAATCCGTCGCAAGTTGCACACGGTCGATCGGCCTAATGA